AAGCAGACCCAGTGCTGTTATCGTAATTACTGAGAGGTTGGATTGCATCACTCTTGCACTAATGAGCACATCTTGCCTGGCTGATTCGTCTCATGGAGTATTCACAGGATGATAAGAGCATTGAGATACCTTTCCCCGCCCAGTGGTTTGGATAGCACCTATCAGAACTATAAAAGGTAGCCAGTGAAGAAGATTCTAGCTTTTTGTCCATCATTCAGTTAATGTATGTGATGTACTCTGTGATAGGGTCTTAATCTATTTCTTATGAGCAACCAAGAAGAATGGCAAGAGCCGTATTATTTTAGAAATATTTTGAAACTTGAGTACACAAATGAGAGAAAATGTTGGCATGTGCTTTTTAGAGATTCAGATATTTCACTTATTTTTTTAGTTCCATCCATGCTGTGAATTTCACTTCTTTTTAGCTAAATTCCATTTTGTGTATGGACCATATTTTCATTATGAATCCCTTGATGGCCATATAGACTAATTGCATTTCCTACATTTTGTTAAGAGTGATAGTGAGCACTGATGAGTAAATATCTCTGTAGGGGAATATGCCCAGGGATGGAATAGCTGAGATATATGGCAGTACTATTTGAAGCTTTTTGAGGAATATTCACACTCATGCCCATAGTCAATATGACAGTGAATAAGGGTTACTTTACCCTTACATGCTTGCCACCTTTTTTTGTCACTTGATTTCTTGATAATAGTCATTTTTTCACTAGGTTAAGATAAAATATCAAGATGGTTTTATTATGTATTCCAATGATGGCTAGTGATATTAAACTCTTTTTAAAGCTGTTTTTTCATCATTAGTAATTCATTTGAGAATTCTTTGTTTTTATCTTTAGACCATTGTTTGATTTGTTGGTTTTCTTAAAATGTTTTTTGTGTATTCTACTATTAATCCTCTGATTTATGTATGACTGGCAAAAATTTTCTCCCTTCCATTCAAAAAACTAATGACCCAAGTAAAGTCTTTAAACTTCCCTCAGAATCTTCACAAGCCAGGCCTCCATCATTTTCATTGCTCACAATATTCTTATATTTCATGCTCTGAAAGAATTTCCCAATGAGCTCTCAACATTCAATGTCTATTCTAGTCACAGTTTCATGTCCTTCCACAATCCTCCCCAAAGCAACATTATTAGATATGTCACATGAATACCTTGCAATCTTTGTACCAGCTTCTGTCTTTGCCCATGTTCTATTGCTGTGCTGTGAAGGTACATCATGATCATAGCAACTCTTATCTGCCAATGGCATGGTCAGGCCTGTCACAATAATACCCCACTCCTGGTACCAATTTGTCTTAGGGTTTCTGTTGCTGCAGTGAAAGACTATGACCAAAAAGCAAGTTAGGGAGGAAAGGGTTTATTAAGCTTATGTTTCTACATCACAGTTAATCATCAAAGGAAATCAGGCTGGAAATTTAAATAGGGCAGGAACCTGGAGACAGGAGCTGATGCAGAGGCTATGGAGGGATGCTGCATATTGGCTCCCTCAGCTTGCTTTCTTATAGAACCCAGGCCACCTGCCCAATGGTGGCCCCACCAGTAATGGGCCAAGCCCACCTATATAAATCATTAATTAAGAAAATGCCCTACAGGCATACCTACAGACAGATCTTAGGGAGGCATTTTCTTTGTTGAGGCTCCTTCCTCCCTGACAACTCCAACTTGTATCAAGTTGACACAGAAATTGCCAGGACACTTATTTCCATTCTTCGGCTGCCTTTTCATTTGATTAACTAGTTTTTCGTTGTTGTTGTTGGGTTTTTTATTTTTCCTGTACATAAGGATTTTAGTTTCATGAGGTCTTGTTTATTGGATATTTTTCACACTATTCTACCAATCTATAAGCAAAAGAGATCTTTCTGACTTCTAGTAATTTCCTCAGGTTCTTTCTTCAAGATTTAAAGTTTTCATTGCAGAAGGTCTTCATCTTATGTTTAAGCTTACTCTGGGGCTTTTGTTTTGTTTTGTTTTAAGGCTGTTATGAAATGGAGTTGTACTGATTTCTTTCTCATCATGTTTGTTATTGGTATGGAGAGTGAATATAGATTTCTAAATGTTAGTTTTGTTTCCTGAAACTTTGTTGAAAATGTTAGTTCTGGGACTAGTCTAGGTCACTACTCTTGTGTATAGAATCGTATCAGTGACAAACATGAATTCTCTAAATTCTTTTCCTATTTGTATCTCTTTTATTTCTTGGATCACTATATTGAAGCTTGGTCAGGTCTCTATATAGGCTAGTCATTTCCTGCAGAGCCAATAAGAAGAGTGAGGTTGATAAGGAGTCCTGGTGAAGGCAGGTGGGGTCTTGAGTTTCCTATGGGGAAAAAGAAAAGGGCCCTAGCCAGAAGTGAGGTCATCAAGGAGTCCAGAATATAAAAGTATGCTGTGTCCTACCTAAGTGGCCTAAGGAAGAAAAATGATAGGTATAGTCAGCACAGGGTCCTGGGTAAAGTGGGTGAGTGTTAGGAAGTCTCTGGGAATTTAGAGAGCAATTCCTTGGCAGAAGGTTGGCATAGCATCCTAGGAAAGATAGGAAGGGTTTTAGGGAGTTCTCTATTCAGCTTTGGAGTTGGAAAATGACATTAGGGATCTTGGGCACAAGAACATTCAGTATTGTGATGCTAGGCCAACAATATGGTCATATTAACTAAAACAATGTGTTTTCACAACTTCATAAAGTTATTGATGAAGAAAAGTATCTGTGAAATCAGTCAAACATTACTGTTAAAATCAGTTGAGCCCTAATCACATTGTCATCTCAGCCATTGATTAGTATTACAGAGATTTATTTGTGCTGATGGTCCTAACTTGATATTTTCAGATACATAGAAGTGTCATTTTATTACATGTCTTTAGTTACTACATGTTTTCTATACTTTTTAAAGTCTTTTTAGGCTACCAAGACTTTGTTATCTACATATCCTGTCATAGGCATTCCTTTTAGTTATGATAGTATTTGTGGTTACTGTTCAAATATGAAAGCCTTAAACTGCTCATATGTTCTCACTTAGGAGGACAAAAAGGGAGAAGGTCACAGGATTATAGCTTCCTTCAGTCTGGGTACTGTTGCTGATGATGACCTGTCCTGCATCATCACTTTTGAGGGTTTCATGGTAATATAAATAGCTTAAAGTGCAGAGAAGATCTGTAATATGCAGGTTCTGGGCCAAGTACTTTGACAGCTACCTCATGCAGTTCAAACCATTGTGAATCTCATTGTAACAGTGAAGAAACTCACTTGTTCTTTTGTCAGATCTAGACTGCTAACCAGGTTAGGACACTTAGAGGTGTGCTTTCAGTCACTGTGCTTCACCAAACCCAATGGGGTCACTGGAGGGTTTCACAGTGAGGTTTTTTGTTTTGTTTTGTTTAAAGCAAGAAGTCGTTTGTGATTTTTGCATTTTATTGATAAACATTCAACACAGAATTTTCATACTTATTTTTCATAATATTTCTCCTAGTTTCTGCACAGGACACAATACTACTGATAAGTGTTTCTACATGCTTATAGAAAATCTATACTGGAAGGTTTGCCCATATTTGATAGTGTTATTCAGAAATCTGTGGTATTAGTTTTCATCTTACAGCACTGCCAACCATATATCAATGTGTCTTTGTGTGTGTGTGTGTGTGTGTGTGTGTGTGTGTGTGTGTGTGTGTGAGTGAGTGTGTTACAAGTTGATGTCAGTTATCTTCCTCAGTTGTTTTTGAGACAGGGTTTCTCACTGGTCTTGAGCTCACCAATTTGGTAAAACTGGGTGGCGAGCAAACTACTGGGACCCTCCTTTCTCTACCTCCCTGGTGTTGAGCTTACAGAAGCATGCGGTCTGCCTTGTGCCAGTCTTTGTACACACCTCCATGGGGTCAAGCTCAAATCTTCATGCTAGCACATCAAGCACTTTATCAATTTAGCCATCTCCTCTATATGTCTTCATCAACAAGAATTTTTGAGAGATGCAAGAAAAACATGGGATAACTTAACCAAGAAATTATTTTTAAATTAAGAAAAGTTTTGTTTTATTGTTAGGATTCCAATGGAATAGTAAGCATCATATTATTCTGAATCATGTAAGTTTAACGATAAACCAAATGTATCAGTATTTATTTTCTTTCTTTTTATGTTTGGAACTAGATACCTTAGATCCCATGGGTAGGAAGTTCCTTGAGTTTAGAGAGTGAAAATAGGTGCTAATAGATTGAAGTTATTTAATAATTGATCAAGTCATTCTGAAGAGCAAGTCCTATCTTTGATAATGGGAAACTGGAATTAGAATTATACAAGCTTGAAGATATTCAATTCAACTCTATGTTCTCTGGTATCCCATTGTTTATTCCTTCTACAATGTCATACTTCACTTTGGGGAAGTAAATGGAGTCACTAGATGAGGACACATTATAGGTGGATTAAAAAGAAAGTGTGTGTTTTAGATGATTGAAAAGTTGTTACTTCAAGATTGAAACTAAAGCATTTGACTTTGTTATCACTAGAAAGAAGAAAAGTATCCTGAGAAATTGGAAAAAAATTTATGGCACAATTAATATTATTTAATATTATAATACCTTTGACTGGAGAGATGGCTCAGAGGTTAAGAGCACTGTCTACTCTTCCAGAGGTCATGAGTTCAATTCCCAAAACCACATGGTGACTCATAACTGTCTGTAATGAGAGCTGATGCCCTCTTCTGTTGTGCAGGCATACATGAAAGCAGAGCATTCATATACATAAAGTATAAATGAATCTTTTTTAAAAAAGATTTAATGCCTTTAATGTTAAAAAAGCTATAAGAGCTCATTAAGAACAATAAAACAATAATAATCACAAGGTTAAATTTTGAACACTGAAATAGTTACTGAAGAAATCAACAAAATTTCCTCTTTGGAAAAAAAAAAGTTTTTTGTTAAGGAAAGGTAAGAAGTGTGGGCCTGAAAATTATGTTCATACAGTTTCATTGAGTAGACTCTACTCATTCAAAGTACAAAACAGGTTACAAGTACACTTCTTCATTTTGTGGAAAGGTTGCCACTCAACTGTTTAGAGAGAAGCCATCCATGTTGATGACTTCTGCTTTTACCTTTATGAGTGTAAAAATGACAGCTTGACAAAGACAGCTCAGAAAAATAAGAGCATAATAATAAATGGGCATATTAATCATAAAGTGTACAGGTATTAAATGACAGTGTGCATTGAAGATTTTCATGCTGTCAGTCACTATTTTTCAATTTTTCATGCTTTCCATTTGAAATTAAGTCATCTTGTAAATCTTTTTCTGGAAAATCAAATATAGTTGAGCAGTGCTTGGGAGATATTTATGAAATAAAGTTTGCAGTGCTATAAGTTTTAAGAAATACACATTTATAACAAGGAAATGCAAGTATGGATTGTATTTTAAAACTAATATTTTAAATTTGAGCAGTATCCATATGCTTATCATTTGAGTTTTAGACAGTATGATGTTCAGAAGATTTTTTAAATTAATTTCATATAAAAGTATTGAATAAATATGGGAAAATAATGAATTTCTATGTTACAAAGTTAAGGCATTTAAATTAAGTGTCACTTTTGCTCTAATTTTAATTGCCTTGTGTTATAGAAAACTATTTTGATGAGAGAACTAAAATACAAGTTTCTTATTCCCTTGGTGTGTTTTGTTATCCCTCACTGTATTTTTCATTCCTCGCTGTATTTTTCAGCATCATGTTTTCCAAGTATTTCTTTGGGTTTTTTGTTTGTTTGTTTGTATATATAATTTGGAAATCTAAGGACTTTGTGGAGCCAGTTCTCTCCTTCAAACTTGCTGGAAAGAGGGGAGTCTTGATTCTGTTGGACTGCATAGCATGTATAGGCTGTCTGGGTAATGAGCTTCTGGGTGATTCTCCTGTCTTACCTCAAGAAGTGCTGGAATTATAGTGCTTCTTTACTTGGGCTCCAGGGCCTCAGGTATATGAGGCAAGTAGCCAAGTAAAATATTGGCACCCCAATTTCATGGTCATTTTACATATATGATGGCATAATAGAAAGTAGATATTTTGTGTACATTTTATCGCTAGATTATTCCAAAAGCATGTGCAAAGTGTGTTAACCTGAGCATTTGTTTCTCTGATTTGTGATTATTTTTCATTTGTCATTTTAAGACAGATTTGCAAACTCCAGATTCTACACTAGTGTTTACCAAATGAATATTTAATGTCATAAATTTCCCAGTGTTTGCTTAAGTTCTTTATCCCTTTCACCAGGGACCTGATTTTTACCAGTTAACAGTGTGGAGTCAGCTAAGGAGAGGAAAGGACTGAGGGGCAGGAGCTCAGCTGTACTCTATTGTTGGCTTTGTGTATCTCTGTCTACATTAGAACAGGCTCTCAAGCTTTGGTATTGTTTTCTGTCTTTGTCTGCAGGAGTGTGGTAGTGCCTGTAAAGAAGCCACCTCCAGGTAGTCTATCTGTCACTACTGTGGGAGCCACCGCTGCAGGAAGTGGGCTGCCAACAGGCAGTACCTCAAGTATATTTGCTGCCCCTGGAGCTACACCAAAAAGTATGATTAACACGACAGGTATCGTCCTTAGAGAATTTTGTGAAGCTTCATCCTTTTTTCTCCGTTTGCTGTATCTTCATTTTCCCATTTGATCTTAACAACTAAAAAGCTCAGAACATTTAGGGTTAGCTTAGTCTTTAGTGTACTGCACCCTGTTTGACAGCTTCTCATCACTTGTTGCTGGCTCTAGGACACAGATACAGTGCTCATTTCAAGAGACATTACTGGTGTTTGTTTTGAGTTGTCTCAAAACATCATAGTCTACTTTCAGGGTACAAGCAGGTTATTGGAATACATTTGAAGAGCAAAAGTTGACTTAGATACTGGAAATGACGGTTGAAAATGAACTTATAAAGCATGTGAAAGTGCATCAAACATGTTAGTGCTAGAAAATGGATTTTTAGGATTGAACCCTAAGATGTGTCCTTTGCTAAATCCTTAAAGGAAAGGCAGATTTTCTAAAAATACAAGATACACAAGAGCCTCAACTTTGTAAAAAGAGCATATGAATAAGGACTGTTGTCTCACACTGAATTAATTTATGTTCTCAGGTTTTAACTGTATCCAATTCATTGTCCAGCTGTTTTCCTATGATTCTAGAAATCAAAAATTCCAATTTAAAAGTCTGACTAAAATCAATCTCTCTCTCTCTTCTCTCTCTCTCTCTCTTTCTCTTTCAATCTCACTGTCTCTCAAATTTCCAGAAATGTTCCTTTTGATTATTAGCAAAATAAATCCTTACCCAAATCTTTGTGATTCCATTTTAGGTATTTATACAACGCAAGATGATCCCTGACTTTCCTTCCCTGACTATAGTAGTCTTCTGTTCTCCAAACTGTATAGCCTTGAACTTTTCCATTTATTATCATTACTTAGATTCTTCCCATTTCTATTGATTTCGTAGCTCCTTTTTGTGCTTTCTGTATCTATCTTGTTTATCATGCCACCTGAGCCTGATATATCATGAACCACATTTATGGGGTGTAGTAAGTAGAACACTCACTTAAGCATCTATACTTGTCTCATTCATTGAGCAGCATTGATGACATTTTAAAATTTGTAAGTTTATTTTTTCAGTTTTAAAAATATAAGTTTAGTAGAATCTGTACTTAGTGATATCTAGTGAGTAAAGTCCTTATTTTACTGCAGTAAATTGAAAAGATTAAATCACTTTTTGTCTCTGACAAGTTATACTTTCTTATAATTTTTGTTTTAAAAATTAGTTGATATGTAACAGTGTACATTTTTAGATAGTATAAAATATATATTACATTAAAATTAAAACTAACCAATAACTTTCCTCTTTAACATTTGATCATATAGAGAGATATTAATGTGAGGTAACATTTATACTGGGCAGAGAGGACAGTTTAGATATTGGCACATGGCCCTGTACAGCTGTTACAGTGGAAATCCAGTGAACAACTCCTTTGCTAGAATTAGCAGGAGATATAATACTTAGGAACACTAGATGTCCCTCAACTCCAGAGCTCTTTGAAATACTCACATGACATATTATGGAATAATCTCTAAAATTGCATCTTCGTATCATTGAGGAGAACTAATTATTTTAAAATCAGGTACAGCTGTAGTCATGATAGGGCTTCTGAAGCTATCATTTTATAAAAGTCAGAATTTAATGCTGCAAAATGACAAAATTATGTTCCCAGTGCTCTAAAAATTATGCTTAGATCAAGAGGTCTAGGAATATTACAACATAGCAGTAAAAGGGGGGACAAAATTTTCACATTTAAATTTACATTGTTTTATCAGCTTCATTTAATCTAGATTTTTTTCATCTGTTGATGTCTTTTATTTATATCCATTTGTAACATGTAATTTTGTTAGATTAGCATACGTCAACTGGACTTTAATGTATTATATATTACTTAAAATCATGGAATTTGTTAGTATACTAATGACCAAATAATTTTGTCAAATTCTCATTAGAAATTCTGATGAGTTATTCTTTGAAAATCAAATAGAAATGAAGTAATAAAGTTATTTTGTTAAATAAATTTATATTTAAAACTAAAATTATTATTTTGGGAACAGGTGCTGTGGATTCAGGGTCCTCCTCCTCATCCTCCTCTTCTAGTTTTGTGAATGGTGCTACCAGCAAAAATCTTCCAGCTGTACAAACTGTAGCCCCAATGCCAGAAGATTCAGCTGAGAACATGAGGTATGTATAGTGATTTATTTCATATACCATTTTTACTTTCCTTTTTAAGACACAGCGAGGTAAATATTCAGTGGTGGGTACACATAAAGTAAATATTCTTGGGAATGTCAATTAGCTACATACTCTTAATATATTCATAACTGCCTAACCATGGTTCTTGGGGAAATTACTAAAAAGTCAGTGTTATATTTTCATATGAAAACTGAGGGGTCTTGATTAAAAGTGCTTACAGAGCTTTTAATTCTTTGTAGTACAGAACATACTATTATTTCCAATAGTGGTTCAGATGTGCAAAGATAGCATGGTAGGAATTGATTATCTCTGAGTGATAACAGTTTAAGCCATTAGATTTGAAAATTAGTCTGTGTAATTTTACATAATATGTATCCGTGTACCTCAAGTAGCCAACATTTACTTTATTTTACTGCCCCCTCATTATGAAGTGTATGAACATTAATAATTTTCCAGTTTTCACATATTTCAAATAATGCTTTTTTGTAAATGACAATGTAGGTATCTATTATTGTCTGGGCTTATGCTGTGCTACTGTGCATATCTGTTTGACAAATAAAAGATTTAGAGTGGAATTGCTACCCAGCTTTTCTGTCTGCTGTGACTAGACTATTCCAAGTAATTTTACTGAGCATTTGTAGTTCACTGATGCAGTAGCTGAAAATAGAAGGCCAGTTCACTCTCATCTTGGCTATTTTCCAGTGTTTGTTTTTTTTTTTTTTTATTTTATTTTAATCATTATCAATGTGGCCTGTTTGGATCAGTAAAAGATAGATAATGCTTTTTGTGTTGTATAAGTATTTGCTTTTATTTTCCCACTCTTTCTGTTGAGTTCCATAACCAGCTGGAATGGTTTTTGACAAATGCATAACAAGAAACAGGGAAAGGAAGATGGCCATCCCTCATTCGAAGATTGCTTTATACCATGATCCTCCACTTCTGTCACAAGTTATATCCTTATATTTTATTTGGGTCTCACACGCAGTTCTTCTCTATCTGTACATCTTCTGTTAAGCTGACAGAAGTAGCTTCAGATTTAATAATGACAGGGACTTGCCCCTTTCTCTTGAAAAAGTGGGAGTTCTTCATACTTCATGTTCTCTCTCTTAGAACTTTAGAATCAGGGTTAGGATACCAATTGCTAGATACAAGTATGCATTTTGCCATAGAATGGGGTCTTCAGAGACCATCTCTGCAGTGTGCTGGACCTTTAGTTCTCTTCATCTTTTCATTTCCAGACTATGAACATCAAATAGTCTTTTCAGATTTTTAGTTTTTCTTAAACTAATAGTTCTTACCAATTATTTATATTTTGCTTTGTATAAGTCTTAATATGTTTCTGATTTTCTTCCCTTTAAAGGCGTTTAATATTATGTGTCTATATTTT